TGTTAATTTGTTATTCATTTGATAACAATTATTACTATCTAATTACCATCTAATTATTATCGATGGCTGGCAGCACAGATTTCTATATATTACCATAGAATACTATAGAAACGACACTCTCCCGAAATCCGTTGTTCTGCCTGAATCAATTTGATAAGGTGCATAACTTCATGTTCTCCCGCTGTGTTCACAACATCAACCATAGAATATTATCAAACCTATCTATATAATTTCCCGCCATTCAAAATAATTTGAATAACTTTAGTTTGTCTATTTAATGGGATATCAAGAAAAGAATGTACAATACAATATTTACATTATAAAATATAATTTTATTAACTAATGGCCTTTACTGTCAATGTTATTTTGATCAATAAAAAAAATATATATATATATTTACATTTTTATTTTTTAAGGACCATTTTAATGTGTAATTATACTCTTTTCGGAATAAGAAGGAACCAGGCGTCCACGGACAAAACCGGTTTTGTTACGTAAATCTGGTGCGTTCTTATTCTGAAAAGAGTATATTATTAATGTGCATAGACATATTAACTAAGTTAATATGTCTATGTTAATGTGTAATACATAGAGTATTACTCTATGGTGTAATATCATGCAAGTGATAAGTGATATCCGCAGTTTGCAGTGATAATAGAGCAACCGACTGTTTATAACTTCTTGTTCTCCCGCTATGCTTACAACATCAATCAGTCCGCTGCCAAAATGAAAAAAAGTGAAGTGGTGGGGGGAGTGTCGTTTCTATAGTATTCTATGATATTACTAGATAGCGAACTCCGGTCATGAATTGAAGCTTCAAGGTCCGAAAAATGATAAGGACCCGAGAATCGAAGGGCTACCAACCCCATGCAACTCACCTCATTTAACACAATAATAAATGTGCCGTTAATGTCCGGGACCCGGCCAGGTGGCGCGCTCTACTTGTCAAAGTTTGTAATTCATAAAAAAAAACTATAATGTGGAAACAGCATATTTTAATTTATTATTATAGTTTAAAAGTTCTAAGAGGTACAAAATTTGGATAATTTTTTTTTTTTAGCATTTTCCTTTACTTTTTCTTGATTGGATTGCCTTGTATACTGTCTTTATTGTGTTTACTAGGTGTTGTCTTAATACATATTCGTTTACATATTCTTGTATTTGTTTCCTTTTTTTTTTTTTCTTAATAGAATCTAATATAGAAAAACAGAAATTACATTTTGTTGTTTGAGTAGGATTGTTTAAAGAATTATCATGGGAACTTGAAGGTAAATTAATTAGTAAGCATTTCGAATGATGAAACTTTTCATCATTATCAATACGCCAAGCTGTATTAGGTTTATACTTTAACAATTCTGTAGGAATAAAAGTACCAGTACAAATAGTAGCTTTAGAAAATTTTAAAATAATATCTTCTGCTTCATGAAGATCTAAAATTATATTTGATGTTAGTTCAAGTTTCTCAATGTTAATTTGGATACTGTTGAATAAAAACAGTTTAACTGTGGCCTGCTCATCAATAATAACCGCCTTTTCAAAGTATCGTGTTAAATCGTCTTTTAATAAAATTTTACAAAACATAACACTTTTTTTGTTCTCAGGATTCTTTGCCAATTCGGAGGAAAATTAATGAATTTAGAATCAAAATAAATTTTTTTATAAATTGTATTTATATCATCAGTATTTTCAACCAGTGAAAATAGTTCTTGGCATTTTTTTTGCTTGATGCACAACTATTCTTGTAGCTACTCTTTTGTTAGTATACTGTTTCTAAAATAATATCAATTATTTAAAAAAAAAAAATAATACCATGTTTTGAGATTTATGTTTGTGTTAAATGTCAATAATTCAATGTTGTAATAATAAATACTAAATAAAGCAATCAAAAATAAAATTGTATAAACAATTTTAATTGATTTTTATGTTAAATAATGTATTTATTATTATTTTACAACACTGTTTTTCTATAATTTCTAGTATTTCTGATTATAGCTGTATATTAGTATTTATGTACCTACTTAATACTTAATACTTAATAGTATAATCAAATAGGAATTAAATTAGTTTTTTTCTAATATACTTTCTTAAATAGGTAATTTAATATACTTATACAAATTAAATACTATTTTTAAATAGTATCCTTTTGTGTATTTAGAATATTTTAACCACAGTTTTATTGATATTTACCTGTTCAGAACTATTAGATTTTAATTCCAGATAATTAGGTGAATTTTGTATAAGAGGCAAGGCCATAATTTCATAAACACTATCATCGAGACTAGTAGGGCTCTGGACTAGTAGAGGAGTAGCTCCTTCCTTTAAAATTGTCTACAAGAAGAAATATCTTTATTTATTACATGATTTTTCTTAATCATTGTCATAAGTACTTACTCTAGAACTAGAACTACTGTTTTGTAAGTTACTTATAACATGAGTTTTTAAATCTGCTTGGGGAAAATGGGATTCACATACCCTATCACCAATAAATACATTTTTATTTGTTTTTGATGACCAACTTTCAATGCGCTTTTTAGTGACACGAAATGTAGGTACATTCAAAGTAGAACAATTGCAAAATGAACATCGTTTTGGCATTGTTACAACTTATAAGATCACTAGTTAAACTAGTTAAAAAAAATAATTGTGTAGGTCGTGTATTGCAGACTGCACTACTGCAGTAGTCTAAGGCCGTGGGCGTATATATCAACTACCAAGTTTCACAAATAGAGAGCGCCACATGACGGGGTCCTGGACACTAAAGGCACATTCAGTGTTGCCAGACGTACGATAATTATCGTATTTGTACGATATTTATTGTTCATGTACGATGTACGATAGGGGAAACGTTATCGTACGCGAAAATACGATAATTTTGAAATAACTGTGACGATTTTTATAATATCGATAATCGATAATATTTCCCTAAAACCAAGAAGATATCGATATTTTTTTAAATATACAAATAAACTCATACGATTGGCCAGCCGAATGGGTGCAATTATTGTTATTTGATTTTTTTTCTAAAAAAGGTAAAACAACAATTCTTAACAACTAATAAGTATTGTTTTTAAATATTGAATACTTTATGAGAAAGCCATTTTATTTTATTATTATTATATAGATATTTAAACTATTATTATTTGAAAACTTTTTGCAAAATAAGTTTGAAATTATAATTAAATAAAAAGAAGATCGTTATAAGTGTTTTAGTTTCTTTAAAAAAAAAAAAAAAAACAAAAAGGTTTAGAGATACTATTCTTCAGATCTGTGAACGAGTGTCTAGCGTACATAGATATTCGATAATAATATTATTTTTGTTGTACTTTGACATGAAGGGTCAGAGGTACTAACTACTAAGATAGCTGGGCAGCTGGCTATTAGTATTTAGTTTGTTGCTTCGGAGTGTTATCAAGTACCGCTCTCTTATCATTTGTTGGACAACTGCGGTTGCTGATTGTCCACAGTATGCGAGCGTAGCGAGCGAAAATATTTTCGTATGTACGATTTTTTTTTTTGAAAAACGATAATTATTTAAGTACTTTACGATAATGTTAGTTTGAAAGTCTGGCAACACTGGGCACATTATAAGTTCACTAGTCGCCAGACCTACTAGTCTAAGGCCGTGCTACCAACAATTGCAATCGAAATGTTGTAATATAAATTATTATGATAAAAATTATACTATGATAAAAGTTATACAATTCCCGCGTATTTCACTTTTTCAGTTTTTCACTGTTTTCACTCAGTTTTTCACTGTTTTTCTCTGTTTTACAGATTTCACTATTCAAATGGATCTTGCAGGTAATTTATTTGACCTTTGTTATGGTAGTAGTAGAAATTTTCAGTGGGGAATATTTCCAAACAGTGAATTGCTCTGCTGCTGGTTCCATTTTTCACAAGTAATATAAAACATTTCGTTATGATCATACCTGCCGGGCAAACCTAATAATATTTATTTAAAATTTATATGAATGTCACAGTCAGTTGTTCGATATTGTCACCGAAAAGTTAATTGTGTCTTGAATTTGGTGAAGAGGCATGAAGTGGCAGCTCGTATTTTCAGAATGGTAATTTTAAGTTTTGTTTACAAGTAAACATTGTTTGTATTTCAATTGTATTTTATTTTTCAGGTATTAGCATTGCCTCATCTACCGGCTGAAAGGGGTAATCCCGGGTGCCCTAATTTTTGTATGGAAGATGGGTTTCATACAATTGTCGCGTACACCTTACAATTTCCTGAAATCAGTGAGGTTATGAGTCGTTTTCTGAGGGACTATGTATTTGATTATTGGTTTGTGCAAATTGGTCCACGGCGCTTAAGCGTTTTTGGTCAAGATCACCGGACCAACAATTACTTGGAATCTTTCCATTCAACGTTGCTCACACAAATTGGACGTCACCCTAATATTTGGGATTTTCTTCGTGAGTCGTCATAGTTGCACTTGACCATACTGTGATCTCTATGTTGCATTATCCTATACATCAGCGATTCCCAACCTCAGGTCGCGACCCAAATTAGGGTCGCGGAGGTTTTTATGGCGGGTCGCGAAATCATTACATACGTCTTACAATTTACATATTATTAAAAAAAAAAATAAAAAAATCCTGAAATATTCTAATAATAAGAATTATAATGATCGAGGAAAAAATAATTTGAAATAGATTATCTAAATGATCTGTCGCAGGCTGTGCGTGGTCGTACCCGCATAGCGTAGTAACAGGTATATAATTTATATTTTTGCTCATAATAAATTAATTCCATATTACCTACATTTGAAAAAATTAATAAATTCATTTTTACAATACATTTTATACAAGTATTTCAGAATAGAATATAGATAGATAAATCAACAAATATACATATTTACCAATTTGATGATAATAAATAAAATAATGTTGAGTTTACAATAAATTATGAATTTTTTTTTTTTTTTTGGGGGTCGCCAAAAGTTAAATTTAAAATATTAGGGTCACGCTTATAAAAGGTTGGGAACCGCTGCTATACATGTTTGTGTTATATGTTATGTGTTTTATGTTTGTGTTGTTAGGTAAATGTTTAACGTAATCAACAGTGTAAGAACAATTCTTAAGAATAAAATTAGTAAGTTCTATCAATATTTGTTTTTAATATAGTATATAGTTTGTTTGCTATTTGCTCTAATTGTTTATTGTTGTCTTAACTAGCTTAACCTGGTGTTGTAAAATCTATTTAATTCTCTTAGTTTTGAATCATTGATACAAATAATTTTAATTTTGAGAAATTTAATTAATTATTACTTACAATACTAACTTATGTGTAAATGTAGCATTATAAATATTAGTTGTGTGGTGAATATTAATTGTGCTTTATAAATGTATCACTTTTATTAGTATCTGTAGCATGAAAACAAAATATTGTTTAAAGTTATTTTTACTGTCAACAATATTATATTATCAATAATTAATATAAATATTTTTTTTTTCTAAACAGAAAGACTGATTATTGTTGAAAATCAGTTCTTTGTAGAATTTCAACAGCGCACAAATAACCTCACGGTAATAATTGTATTTTTTTGAATAAACATGATTTGTTGTATTGATTGTGGTTGAATTATGTCAGTTATATTTATTTTTTTAGATTAGAGACGGTACTTCCAGATCTCTAAGAGAAAACGCTACGCGGATAATAAGAGAGTCGGTACAACAACTCAACAGAGACAGTGACCTATTAATGTTTTTGAGGAGGACTGGTCACCGAAATGATGGGTATGTTCAAGAACAGATTGGACCTTATCCCTGAGTATGTTGTAAATACTAAACACTGTAAATATTTGAATTAGTTTAAAAAACATTTTCTGCTTGTCTACTTATAAAAATATTTTACTTAACATTGTTGGGGGTCTGTTATTGTTAAATGTTTTATTATTAAATAATGTAATTTATTAAGTTTATTTTTATTGAATTATTGTGTTTATATAATGTTTTATTATTTAACTATGTTATTTTATACGTTTGTTATTATTAGTTTATTGTTATTAGTAAAAAATTGTAAAATTAATAAACTACTAATTAGTATACACTACATATTACATTGTTTTTAAAGTATGATTTAAAAAGAAAAGTTATTTTTATTATTATTGAACTTTAAAAGTCTAGAGAAACAATTATTGGTAGATCGGATAATGACCTTGCAAGTGTGTTTATTAACATATTACAACATATTGTTGATAATAATTTGGGTGTACTAAACATTGTTACATGGTCTGATAGCTGTGTGCCACAAAACTGGAATAAGATAATGTCATTATTGGGTTTATGTTGAAAAATCCCAGAACAAAATCATTTACAATGAAGTTTTTAGTTCCAGGCCACTCGTACATCCAAGAAGTGGATAATGCATATTCACAGATTACAAAACATAAAAAAATAGATATTTGGTCACCATTGTCATTTGTTAGATCTTTACTAAAAGTTAACTCAAAAAAACTTTTATTGTCTTACAGATGTAAGACCTAACCTAACCTATAATAAGGTTTCAAAACTATATAACTTTAGCCAAATGCCATTTTTTAAAATTTGTCTACCATAATCTGATATTCATAGATATACTAAAATGTAATACAAATGTATGTTGATGCATTGGCCGATGCTTTATACACAATTTTAGCCGTTCACACAAATGCATTTTTTTTTTTAAGTTCAAAACAATTACTAGTAACTGAGTGAATTATTCAAAATATGAATAAGTACTTAATTTTAAAGGATTATTATTATTTTTTTAAATACATTTTAACAATTAAAATATAAAAAGTTGTATTCGAATTATACCTGAATTTATGAATCAAAACTATTCACCTAACATATTCAGCTAACAATAATACAAATAACAGTTAAGAATGAAAAAGTTCTAATTGATGAATATATTTCTTTTTATTTTAGGTTGAAAAGTTCCTAATTGTAGAACCAATTTATAATATGTATTTTATTAATTTTAATACCAACCAATACAGCAAATTATTATTATAATGATGTGAATTAAACTATACAAGTTGCTACATGCCTTAGAACTTTAATTTAAACAAAATGATTTTAAGGAATAAAATATTTTAACTCAAACCTTAAAATTGCTCTTCTGGACTATTTCATAAAAAACGATTTAGAACCTTTTCATTCTAGACCTATGAAGCTACAACGAATTGAGAACGATATTGCAAAAATTAATTGCCGAAAATCATTAGTTTTTAATTGAAAATGATAGTGAAGTCTATTTTAAAGTTATAGCTGATTGAAATTTTTGATTATCTCATTTATACCTACCCGGCGTATTCACTTACACGCTGTGCTCGCTCGGACAATTATAATTAAAAACATCCCTCGACTTGTTATGTAAAACTTGCTATGAATTATTTTTGCACCATCATTCTGAAGACGTTGATTTAACTAGGTTAAAAAAATTGTTATTTGTTATACCAACTTAAGCTACGTAAACTTTAAGCGTTGTACGGGTGCGTAAAACACCGAAAATCGTGAACTTCATAAGGCTATGCGATAACAACTAATGATTTCCGTGAATTAATTTTTGCATCATAAATCTTATAACTGGTTGCAAATCATAGGTTTCCAAAAAAAAAAAAAAAAATTTGCTTGGGTGCTAAACTATATGGTTTAGACACTAAATTAAAAAAATATTCTAGGGTTTTAAGAAATTGTCTTCAAATTATCACTTTTAATTATTTTATATAGTAATATTATTGGTAGGGTAAGTTAAATAGAAGAAGTTACATAAGTTTTTCCACCTGTAACAAAAAGAGTAAAAAATATTTATACTTGAATTTTCCATACATTTTAAAATTTTCAAACTATTTTGACTCTTTTTGCGTTATTTATAGTCATGAGAAAATTATTTTGTAAATTATTTATCAGTTTATAAATCATAAAGTTTCTTGCCCCAACCACTTTTAGTTTATAAATTTGTAGGTAAAAATATAACTTCCCCTGAACTGGGTCTCCGGCGGGAGAATGCATTAGATATTAGAGTGTCTATCACAGATATAAACTACTGTAAATAATAATTTATATTATATATTTGTTATGTCTATAAATTTGCGGAGTAATTTGTTTGGTTAAATTTAGTATGCGATAATTAACTGAAATAGAAAACAAGAATACATTGCAGACCACAATCATTTCTGTAAAAGAACACACGGTTTATCAATAGACCGTTTATGTGCTGAGTGTAGAAGTTCTATGGATTTATCATATTAAAAAATATATTTTATATCATCTATGGCAATCGCCAATTGTCGACATTCGTCCGCGACGATTAACAATTCTAATAATTTTAGTGAAAAAAAAAATAATAAGCCATCAATATGGTCAGATAGTTCGTTGAGCCGTATATATTATTATGTAAGTTTTAACACGAATTCGCACATTTCGTTAGTTCAGGTAATTTTCATAAAATTTTTCGATAATTTCAAGTTACAGTTCGGAACGAGATGAAGATAGCTGTTTCTTCGGTGGCGTCACGTACTGGACGTTTGCATTGTTGATGATGCACTCTAGCTAGGTTTCACCGGGAGAGTCGATGTTTCAGCGTAAGTTTGTTTTCATAATTTCATATTATTTTGGGATTTACGTTTACTTTTTAGACATTTTAATAATTAAAAACATAATATAACGTAATGTTGTAGTAGGATCTGGAAACTGTAGTAGGTACCTATATTCTAATTAATAATCCAAATTCCAATTAATGTAATTTTTTGAATTTTTTAAATTTTAATGTAACATTTATTATGCCTACACAAAACACTTACCTACCAAAATTGAATTTTTCACAAAATTTGTTGTTTTAACGATAAATGACAATTTTAGTTCTATATTATGGTGAAAGTATTTAATACAAACAAAAAATTAATGTTCGAAAATACAATTTCCTATATTATTATTTACTAAATACAAAGAAACTTAAAAATAAAACTATGATCATTGATTACATACTGATTACCTATAATATATTATGCATGGAACACGAAAGTTTATTTTGACTACCTACCTACTTATCGTGTACGCATCAAACACAAAAAAAAAATAATAACAAAAAAATTAAAAATTAAATACACATCATAGTAAAATCAAAATATTCATCGTTCCGCTCAGAATCTAAAATATAAATTATAGGTACCCGATACAATTAATAATATTAAATAATAATTAGTAATTTTGTGATCAGCAGTATTCGTAGAAAATGTTAGACTTGGAATTTTGCAAATCTAGTTGGTATAATGGTAGGTACTGTAAATTTAATGTACTTAGGTACTGTATATCTTCATGTTAACTCTAAAATCCAGGAATCACATTTTCATTTAATGATTTTTAAAATACAATATTATGCTTTTATAAAAATATGCTTGTACTTCTGATATATATTCACCATATTAATAAATAATTAAATTAAGAAACGAAAATAATAATTAAAATATATCATATTTAATATTATTATAATTGAAATTCAAAATTATAAACTATTTTGATTTTTGTCATAATATACAATTTCAACGAACAAATATTGTTAACGGAACTCTTTGACATAAAAAGTTGCGGTACCTATATGATATCCGTGGATTCATCTTATTCACGTACCTAGTATAATATCTATCATTTATATTCCATGGCAAATCTCAAATCCATTGCAGACGACACAGTCGTCATTAAAAATTCCAAAATTTCAATAAGCAAAGCCGATATGAGCAAAAAACTTACTGTGTTCCGTATAATTTTATTTTTCATCAATCACAATATTTTAAGTTCTGTATATTATGGAGATTTTCCTCGTCAGCCTCGCAGTGAACACACGTAACGGATTCAGCCGAAAGAATCGATGTTTAAAGTAAATTTGTTTTTATATTCTTTTGGGGCTTAAATTTACTTTTAAGAATTAAGATAAATATTTAATGTCACGAAAAATGTGTTATTGTATACGCATATTTTATAAATTGTTTTTACAGTCCCCGGTCGTAGAATAATTGTAATTAATAGGTGAATATGAAAATTGTTTACTTGAAAAAGACATATGTTTTGGTTTAATTTATAGAAATATATGTTTTAACTGATAATAGTCATAAAATACAATTTTAATTTATAACTGGTAATTTTTTTTCAAATCCAACGTTATAAGTTATGGGTAACTATTAACTTAGTGTAACATAGGTACTCAACTTCTATTGCTCTCCTAATATCTATATCATAGGACTCGTAGATTGTGATAAATTTTGTAGAAATTTGAACTTTAAATGCCTATAAAACAAAACGTGCTTATGTATTTCTAATATTTTTTAACTTCTATTATATCAATTTACGAGGAACTTTGTACCTACCTATTATTTTTAAGCTTTTTGACCCGACGAATAAAATTTTAATGACATTTATAGAATACAGAACTAAAAACATTTCATAACTCAAATATCTTTAATAAATCACTGAAAACGAGTCGAAATATTTTGAACATTTTATAATGTATAGAAATTGATAGTTTAAACATTGGATGGACATTTTAAATATCGACGGTTAATAGTTGTCGAATAACAACAAAATAAGAAAATGGTTTTACGAGAATCATATACACATTATTGTAAAATCAAAACATTCATTGCTCCCGTAGTCCGCTCTAAAAAACAAATTAACACATAATAGTTAAGTAGGTATAATACAGATTAAACATTATACATATAAAATATAATATCTGTAACGCTTAGGTCATAAGAATATTGTTGAACATTTTACTGCAGGTTGCGTGTTTTT